CATGATTGTATTAAAATAATCTTTTTTAATGAAATATTCCCTCTGAGTTTAAATTTCGRTACTTAAATGCTGGGCTCTCCATCAGTTTATCAGTTTGAAGCTTTTTAAACTATGACTATTTAAAAAATGTTAATTCTCAGTGGTCTAAAAATATCCACGTCTTTGTTACATAAGATCAGCTTTCTCCATGACAGCTCTGAATACTCAGCTTTCTAAAACAAATTATCTCCTAATTAGATATTCTGTGCAGGGTTGGGAAAATACTTTGCGCTCAAACACAATTATACCCTTTTTTTAGAAACCAATTTTATTGATTTAAGTTTTGTCTGCTGAGTTTCAAGAGTAAAGTGAAACCGTCAGAAAATGCTGAAAAAAAAAAGAAAGAAAAAAAGTCAAAAAATTATTTTGAGATTAAAGATGTTTTTCTGCAACTTTACATGTTTTAATAAAAATAAAAATTTGGTTGTGTTCGGAGCCGTACACAAACTGTAAATAACATCTAAAAGTTCAGATTTTACTGGAGAACAGTGATAATATGAACTTTTTTTTGTAAACTTCAGTTTATTTTAAAGCATTTAGAGTTCAGCACTGAATAAGAAAGAAAAGAAACATGATTCGTGAGCTGTGCTGCTGCAGGAGTAATAAACTGCAGCTCTGACTGGTTCAACATAAAACAATATAATTGCACCTATAAAAAAATAAAAAATGGAAACAACACAGTCAGGTTCAGAGGCACTTTGGAGTTTGCTTCATTGAGCCTGATTGATTTTATACAACTTTGACTTTTTCCTAAACATTTTGGCTTTATTCTTTAAATAGTAATTTATTTTTATTTTTTACACCGTGGCTTTCACCTTGAAACTGAGATTTATTTTTCCTTTCTAATTGTGTAAGTTATAATCTGCTGTTGTGTTTAACCTTCCTGTTTTCATATTCTGCATTCACTCTTTGTCCTGCAGATTAAAATGACCCGGCTTCACTAAACCTCCAATATAAATAGATTAAATTAATTTTGAAAATCTAAAAATTCTATTTTTGCCTGAAGGAACGATTTGCCATTCACCACAAATTGAGCGAATGCCTGAATTTTCTCTTTTCACATGGCAGAAAGACTGCATTTATTCAGGAGATCCCACTTGATTGTATGTTTTGTATGTGGGTTGTATTCCTCCCCATCTTCTTCTGATGCCTCCTCCTCTTCCAAATCAGAGTTGTCTTGTTGGTCGTTTGAAAAAAATAACTTTTCTACAATCTGTTCAGCAGTGAAACACAAACTCATGGCTGCAGCAGAGATGATTCAGGGTCACCTGCAGAACCTTTGTGGGCTCTTGGCAGCCTCAAAGACAATATTGGTACATTTTGATCACAAGAACMAGTACTTTCTCGCATTTCTAGACACCCTCATCTGTTGTTCCGGCCCCTCGGCTGACAAATCCAGGCAGTGTTGAGGCATAACAGTCTGCTGGAGAAAAATATTTTGTCTGATACTGATGAATCTTATATAAAATGAAAGTATTTTCACATCTTTATGGTGTGTRATTGATTCTGTGATTTCAATGCAAAATGACTCAAAAACAATATTTGTAATTTATTGATTTATTTTGTACAGCTTACGTGGAAATATGAATAAAAAATAACATTTCACATTTCCTAATACTTGAGTTAAATGTTAGATTGGAAAAATCTCATTTAGGTTTTTTTTCTGCTTTTAAACTCTCTTTCGGGTCATTTTGTCCGATCAATGTACATTTTTAAGAGAATGATAAAAGTTATTTTTTTAAGAAATATGAACTACATTGTGTACCGAAACAAATTGTTGTTTGAGATGATGTACAG